TGGTTCTTGGAAATTCAGATTTTCTTCATTGGTGTCAGATGCCCTTTTAAAAACCACTTTATAACTTTACATTTCTTTCTCTATTAGCATTATATTTACATTCTCTAATTCTTTGGGTGGCTATTTTATATATTTGTAAATAGTTATCTATTTTATTTGATAAAATGTATTAGCTCATACTTGAAAATAATATTCAACTTAAATTGTGAATTTTTTACATTAGTTATTTTCCAAATCCTGACTTCATTTTAATTTTCATTCTCATTTGTTTACCAAAGTTAATATTGTTTATCAATTCTTTTTCAAAGAATCAATTATCAGATTTTTGACTAATTATTTTTTCTTTTTCTACATCATTTGTTCTATTTTTAGTTTTATATCTATATCTTAATTTGTTGTTTCCCCTTCCAAATTATTTAAGCAGAGTTAATTATGGCTCTATCATTTATACAAAAATACAGAAGATAATTAAACATGAGGACCCCAAAGTCAAAGGCAAGCATTTTATCCGCCCCTTGGGCTTTCACAAAATAAGTCCAGTGTTTAAGCCAACACAAACTCCAGAGCTTTGAGAGTTACCAAAGAGAGATGTGGAATCGCTACCATTGAAGCAAGAAAACAAGGTTAATCGTATGTTGGCTGTCCAACGATCAGGAACAGAAATCAGACCTAAACGGATAGGTGTCTGAGTCCAGGTATGTATGAGTTACTGCAGTTTTTTCTAGGGTGTAGAGCCTGTCCTATACACTTAGCACAGGGTCTGAAAGTTAGCTGTAGGTGCTTTACAGAGATGGAGACAAATAGCATCAAATCACATGGTAAGAAAGTGATTCCCTTTTGAATTTTCTCTCAAGCCTTCTGACAATTTAAGAGAAATACTCAGATTGGTGCTATTTCCCTAATTCCTTTCTATGACTTTACATTCTTTTTATGTGTCGTGGTGTACGAAAATTTTTAATAGATGAATTTCAATTAACAAAGTTAGTGAATTAAACAACAGTATTAAGGACATGATAATATAGGTGATAAGTAAATATGATTGACTTTTGGGAGACATTAGATTAATAGCAGGTGAAGGAGAACTATCTTTAAGGTCTCACTCAACCTCAAAGACATAAGGTCACAAAGGGGAACATTAAGAACAGTTATCCATCCTGTCAACAACAACAGCATAAAAACACTGAGTGTCTCATGTAGTCCAGGCATGGTTCTAGAAATTGAGAATATAGTAATACCTGATCTCATGAACTTATATTCTAGAAAAATAGAAAAATAGTTAGATGACAGATGATAGACAGACAGACAGACTGACATAGATTGACAGACTAATATATAAATGGTGCTGAAAATAAAAACAAACCAAAAATAAGGAGGAAGACAGAGACAGGAGTACTATTTTAGATAGGTGGCAAGGGGAAACCCTGAACAGAGATGACATTGAACAGAAATCAGAATGAAGTAAAGGACTGAGGAAAGCAGAGTGGTAACAAGTGAAGAGGCCCTGAGACGGGAACGTGTTTGATGTGTCCAGAAGCAGTGAGGAGGCGATCGTGGCCAACATATGGAAAGTAAGGGGGCGATAGAAGGAGGAGAGAGCAGAGGTCTGGGTCCCGCATAGCCCTATAGAATCTGGCAAGGACTTTGGGTTTTGTTCTGAGTGAGATGGAAAGCCATTAGAGGATCTTGAACAGAGAAGGAACATGGTCTAACTTACGTTTCTTAACGTTCACTCTTGTTGCTACATAGAAACTAACCTCAGACCATTGGAGGTAGGGCAAGGATAGAAACAGCGAGCCCAATTAAAAGACTAAGGCAATAATCTGGATGGAAATAATCATTATTTGGCCCATCAAGATAGCAGTGGACATGGAGTGAAGGTGGTCCCATTCTTGACATATGTCAAAGGTAAAGATGACAAGATTTACCAACATACTGGATGAGGACAACAACAACATAAAAGAGTTAAGGGTGGTGCCAAAGTTTTAGCTTGAGCAATTAGAATAATAAGGTGAGATGACTGAGGAAGCAGCAGGTTTGAGGAGGGGATGGTCAACAAGACAGACTCGGACAAGTTTGAGGTGCCTGTTAGACATCCAAGTGGATGGAGGAGTAGGCAGTTAGACGTAAATAAGTTTGAACTTCAAGGTGAAAATCCCAAAATGGAGATAGAAATTTGGATGGTATTTAGAGCTTTGGGAGTATTGAGACCACTTAAAGAATGAGTGTAAATAGAGAAGAGCTAGGGCTTGAGGAGTCGATGAGGCATCCCAACAGCTGGAGATCAGAAGAATGAGGATGAGCAAAGGACGCTGAGAGCGAGCAACAGTGAGGCAGGAAAGGTGCCAACACAAAACTGTGCTTCAAAACCAAGTGAAGAACATGTCTGAAGGAGGGAGTGCCCCACTATGCCAACTCTGGTTCGTTGGTTTTAGTAAGACGGAGCCAGAGAACTAACCTCAGGTGTAGTAATGGCAGATTTGACAGGGGAAGTTTCATGGCTTAGCGGGGAAGCCTGAAAAGGGGGCTTCGTGAGAGAACAGGACGAAGAGAACTGGAGAATGAGTCCTGACCACATTCCGAGGACTTTTGTGGACAGGGGAAGTAGAGAAATGAGCTGACAGCTAAAAGGAAATGTGGGTGAAGGGTAGATTTTTAAAACTGAGAGATGTCTGCATGCTGACAGGAATGGTCCAGAAGCTAGAGGGAAAATCCTTTCAGTTTTAAATTAGACTCTC